CTGGGGGAGGAGGGGTAGTGAGTGAGTTCTCGCTCTGTTAGTTTACGCGAGACCTGATTGTTTAAAGGATGATGGCACCTTCTCTCTCTCCCTTGCTTCCTCTCGCCATGTGATCTGCTTGTACCCGCTGGCTGCCTGCCACTTTTCCGTCATGAGTAGAAGCAGCCTGAGGCCCATGCCAGACGCAGCTGTCCCAGAATCATAAGCCAAATAAACCTCTCTTCTTTATAAATTACCCAGTCTCAGGTAATTCTGTTATAGCAACACAAAACGCACTAAAACACATATGCACTAACTCCACCCACCCACACACAATTTGCTTACAAAGAATGTGCCACACCACCCCCAAATGGACGGGCTGGTGAGGGGGCCTGATTATTCTATTTTCCCAACACAACTCAGTTAAAAAATGGGCAAAGAACTTGAATTGACATCTCCAAAGAAGATATACAAATAGCCAATAAACATGTTAAAAATGCTCAACATCACTAGTCATTAGGAAAATACAAATCAAAACACATAGATACTACTCGACACCCACTAGGATGGCTATTATAAACACACACATGCACTCATGCACAGAAAACAAGTGTTGGTGAGGATGTGGAGAAATTGGCACGTATTGCTGGTGGCAATGTAAAATAGTGCTGCCACTGTGGAAAACAGTATGGTGGATCCTCAAAAAAAACACATAGAATTACCATATGATCCAGCAATTCTATTTCTGGGTATATACTCACAGGAATTGACTCAACAGATATTTATACCTCCATGTTCATAGCAGCATTATTAACAATACCCAAATGGTGGAAACAACACAAATGTTCACTGCTAGATGAATGGTAAACAAAATGTGGTATTATTCAGCCTTACAAAGGAATTTAATTCTGACACATGCTGTGGAGCTCTGCTAAGCTACGGCTAATGTCTGGAATCCTGCTCACAGCGCCAGTTGTCTAGATCTTAATCCTGTTCGTGATGCCAACTGTAAAGCTATATGACAATGCCAGTTGTCTGGCTGTTTTACCTGCCAGTAATCCTGCCAACTGGGCCGATTGTTGAGCTAGGCCTAGGTCTGGAACTCCCAGACCCCTCAAGCCCATTCACAGACTGGGTCACAAACCCCTCATATGCCAGGCTGGGTCACCAGACCCCACACACACCAGGCTGAGTCACCAGACCTCTTCACGCAGATCTATGAGTGAGGTAACCGGCCAAAAGGTCCTTGGAAGCCCTAGGTTGGAAAGCATGGCTGTACTGGGTGGACGCCCAAGGCAGATGCCTGCCCATCTGCTTCACTGAAACAACTCTCTCTCCCCCCGCCCCTCTCCCCCTTCTCTTCTTCCTCTCTCCCCCCCAACCCCCCCCACTCTCTCTCCTCCCCCTCCAAAGAACACAAGAATAGCAACAAACTAAAAAGATACATTGGCGCAAAAGTGCCCTAACTCCACACACACACACACACACACACACACACACACACACACACACACACACACACACAC